ATTTTAGCAGACATTAAAGTTCTTCCACCTCTTCCCAATTATAATTGCCATGTGCCTATACCCCCCAACAACATCTACAACTCCTCAACATTTTCTACCATAAATCCAACATCATTCTCATAGCTTTATGCTAGATGGACTTTGTGTTAGTGTTTTATAAGGATTTAACATGTCTAAAGCAAACCACATTATTTTCTAGTGCATCCCTTCATTAGGAAATGCTCCAGACTTTCACATGAATGCTGTATTAGTTGTACAATATAGTGTTTAGGCCATGAATCGTGATCCATATTTTGAGTTCATTCTTTATCTAAGGACAAGGTACCTAAACAAAAGCATGTCACTCAGTTGCCTCTCTTTTTTCTCTATGACAAAGAACAAGACATGAAAGCCTAAAGATAGGTATGTCTAGTCTATACCTATACCGATGGATCCGTGTAATAATGTTCCTGAAACCCATGATTACAGTGTCCCAAAAATTTCCTTCAATTATATAAACCGTACTGGTATAATTCGAGGATACTTCAGACAACATTCCAAGTTCCAGCACCATTTCTTGCAAGCTACTTCACATGCCATTTTATCCTCTTGGAAATTACCAACTTCAACTTCAAAAGTTTTAATGTCATCGGTGGTTTGGTTTCTAATCTTCCGTGGACCAGCAGGCTCGGTGGCTTTGTTTATTTATGCATCTATCCCCCCAAGACTAACCCACTGCATGTTTTGAGGTTCATGGTGAGGTACTATGTTGAAGATTGTGATTGTGTTGGTTTGGTATGGTTTGAATTTAGTTGAAGTTGAAGATGAAGATAGGAGAATCAAACATGTGTGTGTTGAGGGATAAGGATAGAGAAGGATAAGAAATGGTGCTCCTTTAGACAGATATAGAAAAGCTAAAGAAAAGGATTTTACAGTGGCAAAGTCGACCTAAAGGTTTATGATTTCTCTTCCACCACACCACATGGACTATCACGTGTCATTGTTGCTCCATGACAAAATCTCCTTATCCATTCCAATTGTTGAGACTTTGATGATCATTAAGGAGTGAAAGAGAGTTATTACAGACACTGAATTTTGGGGCGAAGGGAAAGAAAGAGAAAGAAATAAACCCTGCATCAGTACTTTGCATCTGCATTGTGGCGAGTGAGAACAAAAGCTAAAAACCATAATAATATCAGCATTTAACAGCTCTGACTGAAACACAATGAGGGACAAAAATTGAACAGCAAAAGAAGGACGAAATTGCATCACCACCACCACCTCTCCCTTTTCCCAAAGCCCAAAATTTCCTCTTTCTCATGTGATGTGCTTGCTGGATCTGACACCCATCATTGTTGCCTCTGCAGTGTAATCCTCAAATGCTCTTAACTCACCCTATCTTTCATACTTAGGTTTCAAACTCCTACACATTCTAAATTTCCAAACTCTCCAATTCATTTCACTCACGTGCTGCTGCATAGCTTGCAGGGATAATCAAACCCTAATTTGTTTCATATAATCTTTCGATAAAGATATACAAAGACCCTGGCAAACACTATTTTGATTTACTTCTAATACAACAAGACAAGAGATCCCACTCAAAGTATATAAATGATTACATTCCTCATCTTGTATATGAATCATTTAGATAGATTCTCTTGATTTATATGTAAAGTTGACCTTTTACATTTTACTCTTAGAATATTAATCTCGCTTTTATATATTCTGTCATTGTATCCGTGCCTTCAATTTCCCTTCTTTTCTCTATTCATATGCTTCATTTCTCCAACATCTAAAACAAACACTTTTTCTTAATTTTATAGATTTCATTTGTTTGTTTGCCTGTCTTCAAATTACTCCACTTTTTAACTATGGAAAATCCAAATGCATAAGACAGGGCAAGAGTCAGCTTCTCAATCTGCCTAGGCTTTGGTTTAAACAAAAGAAGTTTTCGCTTTGTTCTGTCCTATATTTGGATGATGCTTCTGAGTGAAAGAACGGATAAAATCGTTTCATCCACTGATTTAGTTTCTACTATTGCTATCTAATTACATGTTCTTAGTTTTAATTTTTATGCCTTCCGTTCTTAATTTTATTTATATGCTTGTAATATTTGTTCTTTTACACATAGGAAGTACATTATAAAAGATGTGTTATATCATATATTTTAGGCTTAATAACTTACTTCGTCCCGTGTTAAGGGATGAATTTTTATTTAGTACCGGTTTTAAAAACGAAGACATTGAGTCCCTATGTTATGAAAAATGTATGAATAAAGTCCTGTCCGTTAAATTGATAGCAAACAACGTTAACTCCAGCTTTTTCTCTCTCTTTATCACTTTTTTTATCAGCTTTTTGTCTCTCCTGTCATGCGCCTTCACTTCCACACTTGCTCCTCTCTCTCATCCTTTCAACTTCAATCACTCTGCCACCCCTTTCAAACCCTCCCTCCTCCGCATACCCAATTCTTGCCTCTTTTCCCTCTCCGACAGCGGCTCAGGCGGAAACGACACTCATGACGGCGACTGCGGCTCCAACAGTCCGAATTCCGGTGGCTCTGACTATGAATGTTTGTGTGTATAAGAGTTGAGTAATGTATTCTCTTTCTTCATCCTATTCACTCATTTCTAATTCAATCTTTTCTTTCAACAAGGAACCACCACTGTACCTACTAATACCCAATATAACCTGCCAAGGAGATAGAATCCTAACTCTTAAACTCGTGAACCTGTACTCCTATTTTTAAAAGGACACATCACTTCATTAACCATACTCCTAGTGGAGACTCATTCTAAATATCTCAATACAAATTCATATTATTTCCTAAAGAACCACTTCATAAACCGAAAAGAGAATAAAACATTACCTCTGCATAAAAGATCTGTGCGCCACTGTTAAAAGGATTTTAAGTCTTCTTTTCCATTCTTACCATGAGACCCATACCTTATCTTTTATCATTTAAATCTTACATATACACCTCTAAAAACATGCAGAACTTCCCTTAATTCACTTTCTCCTATAAATTCTCCACAATTACCTACATATATTCCCCAAATCATAAAACAACCATTTTATATCCTCCAGCTTCTCTTCTTTTCTTATCCACTAAACACCCAACTTCACTTTCTTTTTCTTACAACATAACCCATTCACGGTTCTTTAACCCAACAACTTTCATTGTTTTCTAGTAACAACACAGTCACCCTAAAGTTCTTCTCCTCTAACACCCATTCATCACCAACACACTCACCACTTTACTCCTTCATTTGAGGCAACTCTGGAGTTGCTCCTCTTCATTAAACTAATACCCCAACACCAAGATATATCTATTTTTTCCACCCAATACTTCACCTTCATCTTTCAACCTTTCCTGCTCTAATATTTCAACCCATCTTCTTAGATATCCAACTTCATGCAACATCCTACTTCTTCTTTTCTTTCTTAACACCAATAACCCAAACCCAGGGAACCTTCATCTTCTCCCTCAACCCCTCACGGATCCATCACCTTCCTGTATTCCCAATCTAACCCAACCATCTTCTCGCTCAAAACCCTCACACTTCTCTTTTTCCCACTCACCTATTTCCTTCATCACCTATACACCCTGATACACCAAACCTCATCACTCCTCATTCAGCTTACTCCCCAAGCTGCATTTGGTTTGCATTATCTGTGTTAAATGAGTTTTACCCGCCGCATCCATGAAAAAAGAAGTCTGATACTACAATCCAATATATTAGTGCAGGAAATGTAGAAGAGAGAGAAGAAAAAGAGAGGAAGAATAACAGAAAAAGCTGAAACATGGTAGGAAATGCAGAGGAGAGAGAAGAAAAAGTACAAATTCGTCAACAAGAGTTAACTCTGTTTATGTGAATTTAACGGAAGGGATCTAATTGATACAATTTATACTACTTTGGGATAAAATAGAAACATTTTTAAAACCGGATACTAAATAAAAATTCACCTCTTAACATGGGGACGAAGTAAGCTATTAAGCCTATATTTTATATATGAGAAAAATTTGTTTTTCCAAAACTAAGATTAATTTTGTAAATGTACATTAAATTAATTAATTAATAAACATAAAGAATTAAAAATAATAAGATATTGATTAGTAATTGAAAAATGAAAACATCACATTTAAAAATTACTCATCTAATTTATCCTAAGTTTAGTATATATTAGTTTAGGAAATTATTTCATTTTAGAAAATTGTATAGTAATTAAAGGTATGCTTAGAAATAATCAAGAATGTCACTGTTGCATAATTTGTTTCAAACTTAAGTAGGAAATAAACTTAAATTATATTATATTAATATTAATGTAAATTTAGTCTAATTAATTTATGAAATTATTTTATTTTAATGTATTTTATAGTATTTTAACATATGTTTAGGAAATTAATTTAAGAAATTATTTTATTTTCGCTTGGTTAGAAACTAAACATTCGGAGTGTGCATGATGTTAAGAAAAGCAAACTACATACAAAAAGTTAAAAAATAATTGTCCATATATGCAAAATATGTAAGAGTCTATCGTTTTAGAATTAATAGTATGTTTATATTAGTAAAACTCAATTATTTTAATATTAAAAGTTTAAAACAGAAATAAAGTTTTTCACAAATGAGTTTCATTATTTTAGAAGTACAAAATCTAGCTAAATCTTTTTTCTCTTTAGAGCTCTTCCTTCTCTCTATGCTTTCTTACAACCTGTTCATTTATCTAAAGATCAAAAACTACTAGAACGATCAACCTGTTCAATATTAACCAAGTCAGAGCAGCAAAAACGTACTTCCAGCTCAGAAATCTCATGGAAACAATGCAATTTCGCTAATGACCAACCAAGCACACTTAACCTACCATTGAAACAAAGTTAAAACAGCAAACAAAATGGAATTAACAAAAACGTAACAACAACAACAACAACAACAAACGAAAATCAAAACGCAAATCTAAATTGGATAACAAATTTAAAACGTAAAACGTAAATGAAAGCTTGAAAAGAAATGGGAATGCGAAAATGAAGCAAGAACCGAAACACAATTGCAATTGAAATTAAAAATGAGATTCATTCATTAATTGAAAGGAAAAGAGAACAAAACCTAAGCCCCCAAGGCGAGGGGTGGAAAACACACCAAAGCTCCTAACCTAAGAAGAGAAAACGCCAAAATGAGGGAGGAAGAAGTGACCTAAATCTGATTTGGGTATTTAAAAACCCCAAAAGACAAAAATGCCCTTTAAATGGCTTCTCCTAAATGATGACAAAAAATGGATTCAAAATCATAAAGTTTGACCCAATTACATTATAAACGAATTCAAAATGAAATTAAACTATAATGTTGACGTGGCCAGACTCTTCTTGTCCCAAAATATGATTCCTAAATTGTCCTGCAATTAATAATTGAAATAATTAAGACCAAATAATTCAAATTAATTAAAATAAGAATTATTAGTCAAATTGAGCCCAAATAGTGAAAATGAGACAATAATGAATAATTAAACACAATTCACTAATACAATATGGTGCAAAGTTAAGTGAAATGTTTTAAATTCTCTTGCAAATCAACGCTTAATAACTACCGTAGGAGTTATACAATCTGCAATAGTTATTAGACGTGTATGTTTTTAATAAAGCATTTTAGGAAAAATGTTTTAAACAAGGGAGGCAATAACACAAGTATTTTTATATTGGTTCACTCAAACCTAAGCTACGTCCAATCTCCCTTAAGACCTCTTAAAAGGTGCCACTAATCTTTTTCAAAGATTACGAACGAGTACAAACCACTCTTAGTAGACACCGAGCATTATCAACCACTCATGGTTCCCCTAGTCAACCTAACTAGTTCGAGTTTAACCACTCCTAATATACAAGTATTATCAACTACTTTTAGTTTTCCTAGACAATTGTCTAGAATTCTTAACTCAATTGAGTTAAACAATAGAAGTGTTTTGATTATAAATACAAATTCAAATAACTCTCAAAGAGTGGATAAATACAATACAATGAAATATGAGAACTTATGAAGTTATTTGTCTTAAAGTGAAGAGCTTTAAACATTATAAGCTTTGAGAATAGCTAATGAGTGCATATTTATGCTCACATTTATGTTTTAAAATTCAATTTTTTGATGAGATTATTATGCTTAAGTGATTGATTTAAAGTAAATTTGTGACGATTGGATTTATTGGATATGTGAATTAAAGATGCTTAAAATGTTATTCTTAGTTGCAAAAATTATTTTAGATGTTCTAATGTTTATTTGTGCAACTGAAGTTAGAATTTTATTCATTTATGCAAAAAGTTTATTTGGTCCAATCTGGTTGATGAATCACTATTTTATACTATTAACTTAGTTGTCCGTGTTGAGCTTCTTGATAGGAGTAGCACTTAGTTGTCCAATCTTCAATATATCTCTTTGCTAGAGTTGACTTGAGATGATTAAGAGATTATATTTCTTTTGATGAATGATATTGTATCATTGTTACATTGATATTTTTGTACTGTTTCTAATCTGATACCATTTTGACATATGCTGATATATGCTCTGATATATACTGTATTGTGCATCTGTGTTTTGAGATTAAAACATGCATAATGACAGGAGAGCATTGCATATACATTGAGATGCTTCACATGCCACTAGTGAAAAAATCAATGATAGGTAAAAATGACCTATTATGATAGATAACCTGGCATCATAGTTCTGGACATGGACATCATAATAGGTTTGCGCATTTTATGATAGACAAAAAAGTCCATCATAATAGGTCCAGCGTATTATGACATACTTTCTGCCACCTATCATAATAAGTCCAATGTATTATGACAGATTTTCACTTATCAATCATAATATAGCGAATTTATTATGATGCAACTGGATTTACCTATCATAATATGTGACGTTTTATGATGCATATTTCTTCACCTATCATAATATGTAGAATATATTATAACAAGTAATTGTTCACCTATCATAATATATACTTTTCAAAAATAAGCTTTTATTACATACATTATTCACCTACCATAAAAACTTGTTTTTTTTTTAAAAAAATCATTATTACATTTTACATATTCAATCAATTTAGAATTATTATTATCTCATCCAATCAATTTATAATCACTATAACACGAAATGAATAGATTCAATTGAACTAACAAAATGAAATTCATTTCATACATTAAATTGTTTAATAATATTAAATTCATAATTTGTACATCAAACTATACATTAAATCCATATATTACATTAACCTACATACTCTACTAAATTGTAGTCAAGTTTCTACAGTTTACTAACACTTAAAATAAAATAAGTTCACTTGGTTCTTCAATGTCTAGAGCTTCCATTAGAGATGAATCATTAAAAATATACAAATAAAATAATAGAGTTAAAAGAATATTGTAACGAGCAACAAGCATGGATCTACAATTCTAAATGCGTGGTTCTATAATTCTAAATGCAATAGTTTAATCTTCTAAAATGAGTTCTAATGCGTGGAAATGAGATAGGAATGCATGAAATGTGTCAAACAAATGATATTAAACCTATTTAAAACTACCTAAACTGATGCAGAGATGTGAAAACAAAAACTGAAAATGCCTAAGAGAAAATCGTATGCATGCTAGGTGTTCGACAAAATGCACATCATAAAACCACTCATGATGCCTAAAACCACTCATGATATGCATGCAGAACTAATAAAACACTCACAATACTAAAAATCACTCTTGAAACCAGATTTAGAAAAACTTACCAGCAAGTGAAAGTTCATTAACTTTTCAGCAAAAGTGCAATTTTGGTTTGATATGCAGATGTCAAGGACCTATTTGAATCAATAGAAATATACGTGAGAAGTATGTAGAGAGAATGAACAACATGAAATGCATGAATCCACACTTTAAATCAGATTTGGCAGCAGCTAAAACCAGAAGAAGGATAATATGTAGATAACATTTACAGGTATAAACATAGCCTTTCAAGTTAAACTTCCACTCTGATGGAATTCAACTAAGTTGAACAACTAGATATTGTAAATAAAGGGAAATTTTAAAAGAAGTAACTATATAAATAGAGTTAAACCTGTTGAGCATATGTCTTTGTCAAAGCTACACACATTAGTAGGCTACGCCTACTCCTCCTTCTGCTTGTTTCCACTCTCTCGGACAAAGTAGCATTCTTCCTCCAGCCTACTACATTAACGTAAAAAAATCTTATTCCTATGCTAAAAAACACATAAAGAATTTTTTTCAATTTAAATTAAAGAGAATACACCTTGGGAGCCATCACAAGACGAAGTTCATCATGGGGGCAGATGGATCCTTAGATGCCATTCCTCTCAATCATGGAGGAACACAAAGCACTTATTATTCACATCTCAGGGAGTTGAAAATTTTTACAGTAAAACATTCTAGTATATATATATATATATATATATATATATATATA